TTGACAGATGCTTTTTAAACATTTTTAGTTGTAGATGGACACAATATTTCATTTACTTATTTATTTATTTTTATGTGGTGCTGAGGATTGAACCCAGTGCTTCACATGTGCTAGGCAAGCGCTCTACCACTGAGTCACAACCCCAGCCCTAGTTTCATTATAGATCATTTTATCATATTTATATAAATATAATGATAACATATATTGATGGGTGTTTCTTTTATGCAAGGAAACTTCTTTATAGTTTTCATTAAATCTAATCTTGTGTGTGCTACTAAACAGAAATGAAGAAGTTTATTTTCCAGTTATCTGTTTTTTTCTTCCTCGGCATGATGAAGGGCTGTGTATGTCAAATAAGAATGTAGAATCACAGTATGCGAGAGATGAGAGGGATTCTCAAAGGCATCTAGTGAAAAGAAGACATGTTATGTAGCTCTTCCTGGCTTGCAGGGATTTATTCACTTAGAGCTGTGTGATTTTGTAGCACTTGCTTAACTTCCCTGAGCCTTTTCTACATCTCTGATGAGATGAACATGCACTTTGCACAGACAACTGTGTTTAATGCTGTGTATGTGTGCACGTGCGCAGACACACACACACACACACACACACACACACACACACGCACGCACACACACATCTTGATTCTGCCTTCTGCCTGATCCCCGCACCATCTGGCTCGGATATCCAGAGCAGGGACTGTGTGGGAGCCTCAGCAGGACTGTCTGAGCTTGCAGGGCCAGCTGCTGGGAACTGCTCCCTCCCACTCTTCAGGGATCATATCTCTGGCTCTGTTGGGATTGTTTCATGACTGCCTGTTTGGATCCCATGACCTTTCATGAATGGAACATTAAGTCTGTAGGGTCAGTCACTGCTAACCAAGTACAGTGATGCTGGCCATGAGGCTAGTGACGAAGATCATTTGTTGTCATGTGATGGAAGCTTCAGGGTATCCTCTGTTTGAGCCCCAGAAAATACTTGTGCAGGACACAGGTGGCTGCTTTCTTTTTTCAGCTGTTCTCTACCCATGCTTCTTTGTGTTGAGTTAGAACAATGGGGAAGCCTATTGGAGGAAACAGAGAACCATCGAAGCCCTCTTTGATTTTTTTTTTTTAATGAAAATAAAAGTAGTTTTGTCTCTTCACTCTGTTTTTTGGATCCTCTGACATAGGGCTTTAAAATTATTAGGATTTGCAGCTCTCCCAAGGTACATACTTTGTGTCTAAGGAAGGAGATTTCATAATTCATGGGCTGTTTCTTGTTGGTTGTAAAGTATGATGCCTGGGGTCCTCTCCTTAGCTGTGATGTTTCAGTGCTCCTCCCTCTTGTAGGCATGACTTCCGAGTTATCTTCAATCTTAATTTTGAGAATTCTGTTTGTGTTGTCATCTCTTTGGACTGATCTTATTGCTTCATTAGAAATATTGAGAAGTTAGCCTGCCATTTTTTTTTTTCATTTTTGTTATGTGTACTGGACTGGGAGCCAACTTTTCATTATTAGAAATGGAGGAGGGGCTGGGAATGTGGCTCAGGCGGTAGCGCGCTTGTCTGGCATGGGTGCGGCCCGGGTTTGATCCTCAGCACCACATACAAACAAAGATGTGTCCGCCGAGAACTAAAAAATAAAATATTACAAATTCTCTCTCTCTCCTCTCTCACTCTCTCTTTAAAAAAAAAAAAGAAATGGAAGTGGCTCTGTTTTTTTGTTTATTTATTTATTTTTTGATAATGAAGATTCCCACATACTACACTTGTTGGTTGGATTTTCTGACCTACCCCTTGTGTTTCTCCACTAGATAGTGACAGTTTTGAGGTTTCCTGCTTGGCATAGCCATAACTATCATTTATTATGCACATACTATATGCCAAGGACTGCTTATTTCAATTAATTCCCTTAAAAATAATATGTACATAAAGAATCTGTTTCATGGAGCTTAAACTGTCTGAAGTCATCTGATAGTAAGTCACAGAGCTTGATTTTTAAACTTAGTTTGACCTTACAGCTGCTTTTCTAAATCATCTTTCTAATTCCTTCTCAAAGGAAACAGTAGATACATATAAGGGGCATGAGATATTGGCTGGAAAAGGATTGGATAATACTTCATAGTAGAACACAGCTAAGGAGCTGCATTTCTTGAAGGAGAGAATAGAGTGCAAAGCCCTTGCTTTTCCCACTCTATACCTTGACCTGCATCATTGTCAAGCTCGAGCACTTTGTAAAAGTTTGATGAATAAATGGCCTCTACCTGTCTCAAGGCAGAAGTTATCACTGTGGGAGGCTCTGTCCCATTGTGGTCTTCATTCCATGCTCTTTATTCAGGTCAGAGAGACCCTGAGATTATTCGAAGATGTCTCTCACCAATCAGGCCATAGATTGAGGTGATCAGTCAGAATCTAAAGATTGAAGTGTGGAGACATTCTGAGGGGTTGGAACTGTGTTGAGGTCAGTACTGGCTTGCAGGAGATGCTGGGCAGTCAGCCTTTGTGCTGTGGTGTAGGCCATTAGCTTGTGCCCACTGGCTTCTGCAAGAACAAGGAGATATGTATGTATATATATGCTTTACTAACTTGAAGCTTTGCAGGTTGTGCCCAAAGAGCATTTCCTTTTAACATATTTGTAAACTATAAATTTAACTCCTACCAAGTGAGGAAGTAATTGCTTCACACATAAAGAAGTCAGCTCTTTAAAGAGCTTAAGTCCTTTAACAAATGTCTTTTTTTAATGACTGGGAAATTCCTAGTATAGGAAAAAAATGTCTTTTTGTACAAATGAGGTCATTCTGGTCTTAATTGGCCCTGTGCACTCTACTTTCTGCTTTCTGTTCCATGTTTTGTGACCAGAGGTTATTGGAAGGATAATCCCTCTGTGGATATTCACTGCTTTGGGGGCATGTTGCCAAAGGGAAAGTTATCTTAGCTTAGAAACTGCCAACCCAGTGCAAGAGCCCCAGATCCCAGGGGTGTTGAGCCAGTGACTGATGATGATTGGTTCAGGCTGGCCGTGGTTTGGGTTGTTACGGCGTATTTTTCATGTATACTACAACCACTGCATCTGCTTCATTCTCTTTAGATCGCTCAGCTGCTCCACTGATTCTTGGCTCAGGAATGATTATTCTTTCCTAGGTGCATTGCATTTACTCTGTTTTGATTCTAGCCTGATGAATAGAAACATCTGTATCCATTTGAGATAATCTTTTATCCCAGTGTAAATGGAAAATACCTGCTGAAAGAAGTTGCTCTGTACCTTTCCTTTGAATACTCAGATACTGATTTTTTTCCTAAAATTAATTTGTGAATTGGCTTGGCTAACATTAAGAATATATTTGAGGCCTTAGATTCACACCRTGAAAGGGTCTTTCTATGTGATAGTGAAGAGTAAGTCTCAGTGGATGCCCCTGGTTTAATTTAAGCTCTCTTTCTTCTGACTTTAAAATAATAATTTCCTGCCAAGGAGGAGGTTATAGGTTTGATGAGTGTTAGGGAGATTGTCACACCTATCTTGCATGTTTTATAAAGGGATGAACATGAAGAGGGTCCAAGTGAAAACTGACGTAGATCTCTGTAGTCTCTTTCGATTTATATCTTTAAGACAGCCACTTTGAAGGAGTAGGATTAGATATTGATATGTATTAATTCTTCTTAGGTGCCAACACCATGCTGGATGTCTTTACAGATTACCTTTTTTTTTATAGGTACTAAGTTTGTGTAGTTAATTAGCAGCAGCCCTTGAAATTACCAAGTTAGGGTTCTGCCTCATATCTCAAAGGTTCTGTGTTATATAATGGATCAATGTTTTGATAAGTCTTTGATAGCTTTTTTCTGTTTGATTGATTATAGTTTTTTTATTATTTAAAAAGCTTATTCTCTTGATGCTGAGAATTTGACTTTTCTTAATATAACTTCTTTTTTTATAATTCAGTTTTTTTAAGAGAGAGAGAATTTTTTTTTAATATTTATTTTTTAGTTTTCGGTGGACACAACATCTTTATTTTATTTTTATGTGGTGCTGGGGATCGAACCCAGCACCCTGCGCATGCCAGGTGAGCGTGCTACCGCTTRAGCCACATCCCCAGCCCCATAACTTCTTAATAGAATCTATTTTCTGGGATATTTGAGTGCATTATAGTTCCCTGAGTTTGAAACTCCAAGTTCAGGCCCGATAGCCTAAATAAGTCAGAAAATAACTTCTTGATCTAGAATTTAAAAACTCTATCTTGAGATGTCCTGGGGAGGAGAGGATTATAAAATTCAGTCATGAGCTGCTTACATATTTGTTACAGACCCCATTTTTTCCCCCATAGTAGTTGTGGCCCTTGTAGGAGGCTCCAGAAAGAATCCTTGCTTGAAATCTCTTGGAACACTGAGGAAGTCAGGCTGACTGCTACTTGAAGTGATGGCTGTGGGGCTCTGGACCACCTGCCTCCCATCCTTCTCTAGCTTTCCCATTCGTCTTCTCAGATGTACAACTAATGGGGAAAAAAGAAAGATCATCTAATTTTAAAAATGTCTCTTGTTATATAGTGGGCTGCATAACTCAATTTATTGCTGCTTGCTACACCATTCTTGAAAGTCTTGTTAAAGCATAAAATGTTAAGATGTTCCCTTTCATTTCAGTTGGTCATTACCTCATGCAGATATACAAGCTGGGCAGGAAGAACTATGACCTAGATTTCTGTAGTATACCCTCCCACTGCTCCCAAGATCTCCATTGATTGTAGGCAGCCAATGAATATTTCACTGAAATTCATTGATGGTTCAAAACAAAATTGAGGAAAAAAATAGAAAATACTATCATACTTGAAATTGGGAAATTTTGGGTAAATTCTGAATGCCTCATTAGTTTCTGCAGGGAAGATATATGTCCCAGTGCAAAATGTGTTCATATTATAAAGTGAAAACTTGTGAGATAAATTAAAAGCTGCATCTTTGCTTAGAATGCTTAAAATGGGAATGACACTGATTTGCTGATAATGTATTTTTGTTGTTGTTGTTATCCTGTAGCCTCAGACGATACAGCAAACTCTCAAGAGGACACTGCAGTATTATGAACATCAAGTTATTGGGTGAGTAAAAATGGGTTTTGGTCATTAATGGGGACAAAATTAAAGGTGATTACTTACAAATAGGTGTTGAACATGTGGTCATTTTGTTATATATGTCAACCTTATCTCATAGCAGCTATGTTCTCAAAGTGTGTGGGGGGGACTGATGAGGGTCCCTTGGAGTGATTTCCTTTGGTTTATTTGTATTTAATTCTTTTACATGAGGTTTCTTTTTTGTTATTGTTCTCCTTTCCTTTTTGTCCTGCTTGTGTTCTTACACTCTCATTCCATGACTGAATCTCATAATTTGGCCTTCCTGCTGTGGTAAGATTTATAGATACCAACTAAGAGGCTTTGAATGTTAGAAAGGCAGAGTTTAATCAAAATACCTATTGGTTTAGCTAGAGTAACTTGCTACATATTTTTCTGAATTATTCCATATTTCTCAAATAGGATATGGTGTGAAGTAAGATTTGATATCAAAAGGTAGGAATTCAAGGTCTCTCCAGCACTTAGAACTTTTATCTCTTTTGTAAAATGTGATTATGGTAATAATAACTAAATCAAAGATCAGATGTCATAATGAAATGATATGATTTCAATGAAAGTATTTTATGAACAGAAAACTCCAAATGAGAACCAAATGATTTTGATTTGCTTGGCAAAAGGCAATTACTTGACAAAAGCCTAAATTTACTTTCTTGTGCAATGTAGCTTTTAAAATTCATTGACATTAGAGGCAATGTACATTTTTAAATCACCTTGTTGGTATTCTTTATATGCTTACAGTGATTTATCTTTGAAGGTTTTTAAGAACTTTTGAGAAGTCACAATTCAAAACCTGTTACTTCTTAAAATATCAGGGATCATTTTACRTTATGGCTAGTGGTCATTGCAATAGGGATTAGTACATATTTTTGGGTATTTTGTGGTAGTGTGATTTTTTTTTTAAATTTTAACAAAACAGAAGGGAAGAAAAGGAACTAAAAATTAATCCCGGTACCTAGTACAATACCATGTACTTTTTAAGTGCTTGATGATTGTTAATTGTCATTTCAAAGGGAATTGCTTTGAAATTTTGTCATACTAATCCTCAAGAGTGCAGTACTAGGAAAAACATTATTTAAACTCATGAGATGGCTTTTAGTTTGAGGCCATTAGTGATTTCAAATGGTTTATCCTAATGGAGCTAAAGAATGTCAAATTAATCTTTCCCCACACATTCTAAAATAAAACTTAATCACTCTTATTGAGCTTGCTACTTTCAAAGTATGGTGTATGGATTMAATTAGTTTAGAACAGTTTCTTGTATGTGGCCATCACTACATGTTTGCTCTTATGTTTATTAATTGCTATTAATATTTTTATGATAATACCAATCATCAAACCCAAATTAGTTTCTAGAATTATGAATGTTCTCTCTGTTCTAAAACTAAATAACTGAGATGATATTCTCACTTTTGAACTCAACTAGGGCTTCAAGGTAAATTGGAATGGCACTCTTAAGATATGATCAAAATAGATAAGTATATTGCAATCATCAGCAGAACATTTTTTTTTTTTTTTTTTGCCATTAGTGGGATGGTGCATTCTCTTTTACCTAACAGCCTCAGCTCTCCTCTCTAGACAGACATGGCCTGTGATGTCCTTGTTCATTGCCTAACTGGTCTTTTCCTAGTTTGTTTATTATAGATGTAACATAGASAATAAAGAGAATTTGTTAGAGGTCGGTTTTGATGTCCAACTTGATCCAAATAGAGCTACTGGCGAACTTTTGTTGGGTGTGGCTGACTCTCAGATGTGAAGCACCTTTGCTCTCTCTTTGCCTCATGCCATGGGCACAGACAGGGCTGGCTGGCAGCAGTTTGTCACACTTGCCTTTCTTAACCTCGTCTTTCCTTCTTCACTTTTTCTCATCTTATGGCTTCAGGTCCCAATTCCCTCTTTTGCCTTTTAGACTCCATCTTTCTGTTTTCTATTGCTCTCTTCAAAACTGCAAAAAGAGAGCAGCTAATATCACTAACCCTTGAACTAAAATGTGTTCACACCTATGTGTTGTTTCTCTTAAGAAAACACAATTTAAGGGTTTTTATCTCTAAGTGTGAAAAGGAATGTGTTTCTCACAGTTAAGGGGATTTCAGGCAATGGAGAATAAGTAATGACAAGCATTATTTTACATATTTGGGGGGAGGTGAGAGAGAGAAGGAAATACTTTTTTTATTTTCTGAAATGGGGATTTCCTAAGGCTTGTCTTGAAGTAACTCAGCTTAGGTGCCTTGACTTGTGGTGCTGAATCAGGGTGGATGAGAGGGTAGGGGTTAGCCCTTCTCTTTTTAAGTTCTTAATTTACCCTCCAACCACTGACCTTTCCATCCTCCCTTTCCTCTTCTCAAAACTCTGCCTTAGAGCTGCTTTATTTATCAGAGCTCTGGGATAGTGTATCATGCTCCTTGAATTCTTATGCTGGTTGCCCATAGAAACTCTGTGAGGCTTTTTTCGTCTCCCAAGACCTAGACTTGAATTCAGGGAGCAGCTGTTCAAAGGATCACAGATGGAGGATTGGGAGGGAGTAGATGAGGGAACGTCTTCTTGGGGAGTAAGATAACCTTTCTGTGCCAGCCACTATATCTTTAAACATTTATCCTACTCCTTAATCTATCCATTCACTCATTCATTTATTTATTCATAGAGATCACTTACATTGGGAAAAAGAGTGCTAAAATAATTTATTCATGCTGTGTGATAAATCTTCCTTTCATCTCTACTGCCATCATCTTCTCTCACTGAGGGATTCTGATCTAGTTTTCTGGCTTCTACTGTCCCTTAATACTGGGTTATCACTATACCAAAGTAATTAAAAAATGAGATCATGCTACTTTCTTATTTGAAACCAATGGTTCTCAAATATTAATGTGCATCAGTGGCCCCTTGAAGTCTATTTAAAATAAAGTTTTCTGGACCTATTGTATTTGGGCTTTTCAGAGAAATAAAACCAATAGAACTTATGTTTTATGTGTGTGTGTGTGTGTGTGTGTGTGTGTGTGTGTGTGTGTATGCGCGTGATCAGAGGCTGAATAGTCTCCCAATGGCCATCTGTAGGCTAAGGCACTGGGGAAACAAGTAGCTGTTTGGTCCAAGAAGCTGGAAGCTTCAGAACAAGAGGGACCAATGATGCAGCCCCAGTTTGTGAYTGAAGGCCTAGAAGCTCCATGGAGAGTTGCTGGTGCAAGTTTGGGTGTGAAGGCTGAAGAACCTGGAGCTTAATGTCCATGGGCAACAGTAAAAATCTCAGTGGTTTAAGAAGAGTTGATCATGCATGTGTGTTTTAGCTTCCTTCTTTTTCCACTTTTTGTTCCATCTGGGCCCCCAGCCATTGGGTGGTGCWGCCCATGCGGGCCTTCCACATGCAGTTGGCCGACCCACATGACAATCATTTCTGGAAACACCCTCACAGACACACCCAGGAGTGTGCCAGACTAAATTTTCCAAGCATCTCTCAATAATGAGGTTGACAGCAAAGATTAATCACCACATTTACCCCCAGAGTTTCTAATTTTGTACACCTGGGGARGTATCAAGTTCCAGGTAATACTGATGTTGCTGGTCCAGAGATCACACTTCAAAACATCTACTATAAACCATATAATGGTTTATTTTGATGGGGTATAGTCTGATTCTTTCTGTAATCTGTTCTATACTTATGCTTCTAATTTTTTGTTTTATCACTCYGTCCCTCTTTTCATTGCATTTCAACTCTTGGTTCCTCAACTGTACCAAACTTAGCCTCAAGGGCTCTGTATGTAATGCTCCATTTTCTTGGAATGCTCTGTACCCAGATGTTTATATGGTTTATTTCTTTTGTGCATTCAGGTCTCTGATCAAAGGTTATCTATTAAGATAGGCCTGTCCTGAGCACCCAAGGAAAAGGAGTCCTCCAACCCCACCTGCAGTCATTTTCTCTTATACTACCCTTTATGATTTCATTTCATAGGGCTTATCATCAGCTGATATTATCTTGTTCATTGTCTCATTTTCCATGTTACTTTTACATAAGTGCTTGGCATGTAGGCGGAATCAAGATCTTTCTTGGAGGGAGGGAATGAATAAATCAATAAATTGCATGTTAGAGGTATGTATACATAGGGTTTTAGGAGCATAGTGAATAAGAGAGTCGATTATGCATGGGAAGTATGTGCAAAATGAGGGGTTAAAATAATCTCCAGTGTATATTATGGTTGTAAATTTTATAGTTTTAGTATCCTGGGMCTTTTTCTTCATGACATAAATTATACTGATTCATATACATATTTTCTCATTTATACTTAATATTCTGCCCTGTGTATCTGATTGACTTTGTGGAAACTCTGATTACTCTATGAACTCTACACATTGGTGTTGACTCGGAGAGCTTCTTGTTTGTGTAGCAATCTTCTTCCTTCAATATAAAATCAGAGATGGGTGGTGAATGTCTTTAACTCTGTTTCTACAGAATGGATAAGCTGTTGGGGCTATGTAGGATAGAGAGCACAGTGAGAAGTAGAAGGGATCAGTAGGAGACAGGGATTCAGTTTAGGAATTAAGAGGAACTCAGGATTGAGGAATATCTGTTTATGATGACATTTCTTTGTAATGTCTTTATTGCCATTTTCTTGTGCTTTTTCTTCTCTCTGTGGGTCTTTGTTCCATCTGGGCCCCCAGCCATTGGGTGGTGCTGCCCATGCAGGCTTTCCCCATGCAGTTGGCTGATCCACATGACAATCATTTCTGGAAACAAAGGGAGCAATTGTGCTTTGGAGGTAGATGGATAAGACTTATTAGACGTAAAGTCATGTTCTACTATTGAATAATCTTTAGAAAGTTACTTGAAATCCCTGAGCCTTTGTTTTCTCATTGAAAAGTGTGAATAACAATGGGATTAGGGTGAAGTTTAAATGGAATCTGAATGTTAATAATATGTGAAATCATATRATCATGTAGTTACTACAGTGCCCAGGAAGCAAAGCTCACCAAAGCATCCACTGAGTTATTCTTACCTCTATTAGCATCTAACTCCTTTWTTCTTTTGTATTTTAGTTTTTACTCATTGTCTTTCACTTTATCCTCTTGCTGTCCTTTCCCATCCTCCTTAGACCTTTCAAGGTTAGGAATCCATTGATTAGCATTAGGAAGTAGACATACCCAGTTCATGTTCCAGCTGTGGTTTTCTTCTTAAAAATTCTTTTTGCTTTAGATTTTTTGACCTAATTTTTCTGTCTCTCGAGTGCCTGACACACCTTCTCTAACTCATGTTTATACTGTATGACTCCCATTGGTCTGAGCCCAGACAATGGGTTATGTGGCAGTGTCGACAAAGCAGAGATTTCTTTAGAAAACTATCATGGAAAACAAAGGATAGTCAATATTCCTGAGATCTGTGGTTCATCCATTCTGCATTTTAAACAATAAAGCTTAGAAGAATATGTATTCAGGATCATGACCTTCATGTTACAAGTTTTGCTACATACACATTGTTAATATCACCATCAGGACTGTGGCCAGCCTTKTATTAGACTGGTGACACGATTTCCTATAGTCATCTAAAATTAATCTCTCTTACTCTTATTATCACTGTGGGCCCTGTGTTTGTTTTACACAACTAACCTTCTGTTCTATTTTTCTTTTGACAATTGAAAGGAGATTAAGCCAGAATAATTTCAGTAGGGCCTTAGAAGTAAGAGTGGGTGAGCCCTGATTATTCTGGGAAACAAATTTCAAATATATTTCTTACKCTTTTATGGTCAGATTTTGTGATTATAAATTATTGTATCTAAGATATGATCTAATTGATTATATATATATACATATATTTACAAAAAATAACTATCTTTTTGAATAAAAACGGCAAGTTAGACAAAAGCTACTATCTCTTGCTATGTTTGAGGCAACATGCTGAGTACTTTACATCTGCTATTTAATCCTAACCACATTATTTCACAGACTCAATGAAAAAACATTTTGCCTAAAGTCACTCTAAATAAAAATGATGGAACTTGATTTAAAAATAACGCTGTAGCTGTGTTTAATGTCTGTGTTCCCAATTCCACCTCTCATTGAGTGACTCCTGTGTTCTAGAAATGGTACTAAGCATTTTGCCTAACTGACTGGTTTATTGGAGTCTCATCTCAGTGGGTGGTGGTCATGACATGCAGCCATTTTTAAAATTTTTTCCTGCAATCACTTCMAAACTTCAAGCATGCTAAAATGAATCCCTTTTGATCCTTGCTTGGACAGATTGCTTTGTTTTCTAAGTAATTTTTAAGGATTGTAAAGTCCATGGTGGGTCAGTTTGAATCTCCAGTCTCTTTTCTCCCTTCCCTTGCCTTGGCCAGGYGTTGGCCTGAGGAATTTGGGGTACAGTGCAGAGAGTGTCTGATGTGGGCATTCACTTCTCCTCTCAAAGCCACTTCTTTCTGATGTGTTATGTCAGGCATTAGTGAAATGGAAAGTGGCAGAAGCCTCAGTGAATTCATTAATGGTCATAGACTTATGTCCTGGCTGTGAAGCCCTCAGTGAAGTATATGTGTGGGCTCCGTCCCTCCCAGCTGCTTCAGATACCCTCTCAGGACTGTACTCCATAGTCTTGCTAGTGGGGTCCCATCCCTGGCCTAGGAAAGCAGCAGGAGGACTGGACCACTCAGCTCTCCTCTCTTCAGTGGCATCTCCCTAACTTACAGGAACCTCCTGTTTACATTTTTTACCTTGCAAAATGGTGGGTCTGTAGGTTGCTCCCAAATTTGTTTTATTTGTTTTACTTGCCAATAAGTCTCTCCAGAATCTTTTTCCTCTACTCAGTCAGGCATGGGAGGATGATCAGGAAATCCTCTGTCTTAGCAGATGTTCAGTGGGGAATGAGACACCTACCCTCTGCTCTCTACCCAGGAGACTGCTCTCCTCAACTGGGCTTCTGCAGGGGACACGCYTGTTCTCTCCTTGTCTCAGAGTGGAGGGGAAAATGTGCAACCACATGCTCTCCTTGACCTAGCAACTCTTATGATTGGGGTGGTGGTGGTTTCTTTCTMTTCCTTTTCTTTTGTGAGTTGGTGGTAGGGTCACAGTGGCAGTGGCTATTCATCCATCTCTTAAATCTTGAAGGAGAGTTCCARTCTTCTTGGCTACTTTTTTGGGAATGTGAGAACATTTGGCCTCTACTGGTCTCAGCTTTGAGGCTTTAACTCTCATTTAGAGGCCACTGGATGAGTCCCAGCCAACATTAAGTTGCTCTGGCATCATGTTATTTAGTCTTAATGGAAACTCGATGGGTACCTTCATTATTAAAGGGAGCAAAGTTACACTAGTAGAGATTAGTCTATTGCTCAATGTCTTTCTGTCTTGCTCAGAAATAAAATGGTAAGACCATGAATCAAATTCTTCCAGCTCTGAATGCTAGGTTTATTCATTTGTTTTTTTTTTTTTTTATCCATACACCATACTGCTCTCTTCTCCACTGTGATGGAGGTTACAGTGTGTGTACTTTCAAAAGAGCAGAGTGCCAAAGCATCAAATTAGTACTCTTAATGTTTCTTTTTCTAGGCATCTTCCTTATGGGAATATTATCAACAGCAAAATAGTGCTCATAAAATAATATAATAGCTATACAAAAGCTGATATATATTTGGTTTTCCTCATCTATTTTTTTCACTATCAGCGTTCTTATTAAATGATTGCCTTCAGTTCTAAGTCAACACTGCTAACAGTGATGGAGATGATGAGTTATGCCAGAATTATGTACAATTGTTCAGTTATTTTAAAATGTGATTAACCCTGAAGTGTAGACTGCATGTTTACRTGTGTATAGATGAGTACATTTGCAGATTCTTTCAAAAATTTCTCTGTATGCTAATATTATTTTCTTCTTAGTTATAGGGATGCAGAAAAGAATTTCCACAATATCTCTAACAGATGCTCCTATGCAGACCATTCCAACAAAGAAGAAATTGAAGATGTCTCAGGAATTCTTCAGTGTACTGCTAATGTACTCGGTATATTAACTCACTATTTATATTGTTGAGAGAGAATAAAAGAAGGGAGAGGGAAAGTACGGGTTTAAATGTTTCATTTTCTACTTAAGAAAGATTTGGAGAAAATGGGAAATTGAGACCAAGACCTTGTCTTCAAGTGATTTAAACTTAACATCCTTGAAGATATTTGAGCAGAAATTATATGCAWGTCATTTACTTGCAGACTGAAAAACATTATAAAAAATACTTAATATTCTAGGGAAACTTTTCCAAATATTCATATGTTAGTAGTATTAGCTTTATGTAATCTGTATATTCTAGTCATTAGTCTTGGCTGAAATGTAGGATCATTTTTTTTCCTATTAAAGTTATACTTTGTTATTTCTGGGAGGCTGGAGGTTGGTTGGGGCTGGAGGGTTGGGGCTGGAAGCGTCACTCACATGCACTCATGATGGACTCTGAAACTCAGAGGTCACTTCTGTGACTAAATCAATGAAGCACATCATCTACTGAAGTGTCCTGCTTGGGGCTTGATAAATATGCATCTTGAAGATGCCAGTATTTATCTTCTGGTTTTTGGATGCTTCTAACATGGCTAAAAGTATTGTTAGAAACTTCACTGGATCCTATAGCCTTAAGGTACTGTAACTGGGCTATATTGCCTGTAGGTCTTGGTGTGTATATCATGCAAGGTAGACACCATAGCAGGAATACCATTTTCACTAATGTCTTACAGATTTTTTTCAATGGAAAGTACCCCTTTAAGTTCTGTTTAAAATCCTCCYTTTTTTCCTTATGACTCATATAGGTATCTATGGGAGGTACTGGTGGTGGTAGGGGACCACAAATCCAAGTGACTGGCTCCATGAAGAAAGTAGAATCACCTCTCTTTCAGAATTAGGTGGTGGAGATTGGAGAAAACTTGTTTGCCTGTATTTCTTTTCCTTTATGGAAAGTACTTTACCTAGAGATATCTAAGTTCCTCTCACAAAKAAATTTGGGGTGACTTTAACCCCAGAGTCACCAAATCTTTCTAAACATGTCTGATTCCCAGAAGAGAGTTCTTTGACCCTCAAGCTGGATCTCCAACTATAAATGACGTTTTTTCATCCTAAATTATTTTGTAGTGAAAAATATTTTAATAATAAAATGGATCTTTTGTGAGGGGAGGCATAAGATAGATATAAGTGGTTTGCTATAATAGGATGCAAAACAGTGATGGATAACCAAAAGAAGGTTGAAATTTATTTACCTGGATTTTAGAAAAACTTCAGGGGCWATGGTACTGACGAGGTAAATCTTATTACTGGAGAAGATAAATTAAGAAAATAAAGAGGGCTAGGGTTTCACAGCAGTTTTAAGTTTTCTGGTTTTGCATTTTTGAGGTAACATGTATTTGTCTTGACCCATGGTGCTTTTCAAAGAGTACAGCAAGATGACGTCTGGCTAAAAAGGATGAAACAGAATCTCTGGAGAGGGATGTTTAATATTTTGAAAAGTTGCTCCTTATCCAGTTTCTAAATGTTTCCTAACCTTCACATCTTCTTTCCTTATGCTCTCCACCTTGACAATCACTGAGTTAGAGGGAGTGGGAGGTGTTAAGAGGTAATGCATGTGTAGGGAGTGCTAAAGACATCTGAGCTGGGAGTTGTAAATGAGCATGTAGGATTCTTGCAGAGAAGAAACCCTAGGTCAGACAGTTTCTGAAGGAAACCATCAGGGGACACTGTTGGCCCAGCACAGCTTAGTTGCCCTTCAAAAGCTGCCATGAGATGCCAAGTAGTGAGAAAAAAGAGCAGCAGGCAGTGATATTAGAGAAAACTGGTAATACTAGGAAAGGAGTCATTTTAAGTACTTATAATTTAGAAGGTGACTGTATAATAGGGATTAGATTTCCATAAATATTTCTTTTCCTACGAAAGAGATATTATGTCTGATTTTTTCCTCCTCCAAATAATGATGGGTTGGTCTCATGATTTAAAGTGCGATCTTATAAAATTTTAATCTCTGAAAAAAAACCCTAAATGCCTGCAACTTGTTGACCAGCTGCTGGCATAAATCCAACAGATGATTATATGCCTAAGAGCTGTTCGCTTTTGAATAATGTCCTTTCATAACTCTTGAAATATGGACTTTCTCAGGGCAAAGATAACAACTTTACTGGTCATATTCAATGAAAGCTTTGTTTTTAACAAGTCACTGAACTATGATTAATCTTGGCTTGGTAAGATTTCATCTTTTTAAAAAAATTACATTTAAATTCTCTTGTGCAAGCATTTATGAAAATGAAAGAATTGGTTAACATACGGGACACACACACACACACACACACACACACACACACAGACACATACATGCACCATATAAGAAAAGGAGTGTGTTTGGGGGAAGATGGGAAATGGCATGGAGAAATAAGATTTCATCCAGGTTAAGAAAAATACTGATGTCTGGGAACCTTCTCTGAATGCCCCAATGGTCCAACTCTGTGATTTACGTACATCACCTTTGGGGAGTGTATCTAGAATACTGATGCATTCAGAATAATAACTACCTATTTCTTTTACTTTCTTATTCTGTTATAGGATTGTAATAGAGACTGGAAGTGGGTTTGTTTATTCCTTATCTATTGTTACTTATACATARCCCACTTTCAAAGAAGACTTGAAGTCATAAGTCAGATATATGGTCACACAGCAAATTTTTCTCTTTCCAAAATGACCACCTCTATCTGCTTAGTATACATTCTTATAGATAATTTGGTTATTTACTGGAGCATCTGGTTGAAGTTTCAGGTTAGGGGATGACATGAAATGAAATAGGGGACCTGAAGAGAGGGAGACAGTGATTTGAAGACCAGCAATTCTTCCATTATGCATTTGTTCTCTGTGGTACCTCCAACAGAACTCCCTAGATACATGCTACTTAAGAGTGGTTCATAGCCCTCTAGTAATGGTAAGGGACTGTTTCCTGATATAAAAAAAAGTATTTTTTTTCCATTTATTATTTTTTTGTTTACTTCGAAACCAGTTGTRTCTACTTTCTCTGTCTCATGATTTACTAACGAGGAATATTAAGTACAGTTAGCTCCTTGCTTTTTTTCACCTCACTTTGGTGCCCTGGTAATCACTGTGTTGATGCAGCAGAGTACTCTCTAAAGAGGCCCTTAAACTCTGGGAAAAGATTATGTAAAGAAAGATAATTGTGAACAATGCCTTCCCTACTGGAGGCTTTTAGTGTTAAATTTACTGCATTATTTGGTACATAATGTCTTTTGCATACTGAAATGGTCTAATTTTAGTTGTTTGAAAAATATAAACCTTTTTTTACCATAATCTGAAAAAAACTAATTTTAGGTTGAACTAAATAGCAAAAATGTGTTTAAACTCTTATAAAKCATGACATTTAATATTTTCTTGGAAATTGTAATGGTTGAATTGTATGATGAAGCACATACTAAAGGGTCCATGCTGTGTTTGCTGCTGAAATGTTGTCACTTGACCTGGTGGCTTGGATTTAGATAGTGTACTAGGGTTGGGAACAGAAAATGAGTAGAGAGAGATAAGGGAGAGAGATGACAAACCACATCATCCCCTCTGCCATAATGAGTTAAATATAAATGCARTTATGACGGTTTCAGTTTTAACAAGTTTTAGAGCTATTAAGGGGGTGGTGGGTGCTTTAGCTGTAAAGCTGCAAAGAGCTAAAGGATGGAGAAGTGGTGTCTGAAAAAGATGTTCCACAGAAGGTCAGAGATCAAATAAATGACAGCTCTAGGTTAATTCATTTACTGATGAATTATAGCAAACTATGGTCTGCTATTTTAGTAAGCATCAGTTATTTGCTAAGGGTTGCCTAAAACAGTTTTATACTGCCCTTGCTAAGTGCATTTTCTCTCAAAATAATCAGGAAGGACATGAGTTGTGAAAGGACATTCATTAACATTTTCTCTGTTTTAAAGGTCTCTGTCAGAGTGGTGTTTTATCTTCTTCAAAAAGTTAACACATTTAAAATCAGAATGAGAGGAATGCTATCATGGGATTATTTTGTTTGGAAAGTGCTAGTCAGAAGGATGGAGGAGTTGACTTCTGGGGCTTGTTTCTCATCATGTTTTCCTAGTATCAGAGATTCTGAAGTACTGTGAAATTGGAGCCCTTTACAAAGTGTCACAGATTCCAGAATCTTCAGCTGCCATGGAGCTTTATGTGTTGTCGATTGTTTTTAATAAGTAATGATTTTTTTTACATGCCAATGTGTATGTACTTTTTCGTTTTATTGTGCTATGAAATGTGCATTTAGAAGTCTTTTAATTGGTAATAAAACTGTGATGAATTATCCTTATATTAAAGCCACTTCCTTGAGGGTTTTCTTGAAATAAACTCTTAAGTCATGTAATTGTTTAGTGGTTTAGAATGTTTATAACATATTTAACATCTTGGAGAGCTAGTTGGTGGAATAACCWCTTACACTTTTTWTTATTGATGGATTARGATTGATAGGAATAAATAAATTCTGCCAATATACTTCTTRTTACTATAAAGTTGGTAACTGATCAGTTTTTATTTCATTAAAAGTAATTGTTTTCAGTATTTTAATAAGAATGAATTGGAATTAAGGCCATTACAGGGGAAATAAATWGATAATTTTATAATAATACAGTGATTTGAAGCAAAGACTAGAGCCCAAATACTGGGATCGAAAACACAGTCCAGCTACTCACTAACTGTATGCACTGAATGATTTTTAATCTTTCCATAGCTCATATTTCTCATATGTAAAAGGGATATAATTATATATTCTCTCAGAGTAGGTAGGAAGATCAAGTAAGTTAACTTATATAATAAGTACTTGGATCAGCCAAATATGGAACAACCATAAATGTTTGCTCTTATTATTACTGAATATTCACAAAATATAGTTTGCATTAGACCTGGGAGGTCAATATTGTTCATTTTTAAAGCAATAAAACTGATATTTGCAAGCTTAACTCATTGTTATCTTCTATGGTTGGAGTTAATAAGCCA